TATAATAGACTTATCAAGCAACAAAAATCTCAAAAAGTTTAATCCCAAAGGGTTACCACCGAGTCTAAAAACTGTACTTCTCGGGGGAACTGGAGTTAATAAGTTTAGTTTACAGACACTGGAAATGCTAAAAGATGTGGAGCTCGTAGACCTCAATAGTTAGTATAAAATAATAATAGAGTAGTCATTAATTAATTAATTATTTATTTTATTTAGAAAATAAATTATCCTGCTACTGTGATGATATCCAGGAAATCTGTGACCGTGAAGATTTGCAACGCAAGTTCCCCGGTGCTATATGTCGGGAACCAGTCTCGTATAATAATACTATATATGGCTCGTCATGTTTCGGATCCGTAACCACTACTCAGACGACTTCTACTTCACCCATACTTTCCTCAATTCTAGTCACCAGTGATACCCCAATACAATCGACATCACAACCAACTGACTCTCAATCTACACCCACTTCCAGCCCGTGTACACCTGAACCCAGCCCTCAGTATTAGTAAACCTAATACAGTAAACATAATATTTTAAACATATTTTATTAAATAGAAATTATAAAATTATTAATAAATAGAGAAATATAATGAGTTTGTACTAACAATTGGGCATTAAGTAATATTAATCAAATTCATGTTAATACAATAAAATATTTAATTACAATATGCTAAATAATTGATAAGTTAAAAATAAACTCTATTAATTAATAAATGGAGATAATTATGTAATGTATATGTAAATAGGATTTATTAATTAAATGACAATCGTTTAACATTGAAAACTTAGTAATGTAGACCAATAACTTTAAATTAACAGCTTACTCATATACTTTGTATGCGAGTAAGTTTTCAATGTTAAACGATTGCCATTTTATTAATATGTAAAATATTTATAAAAATTATTTGCACATTATATGGTACTTTCACTTTTAAACAATATAATATATCTCATCAATAAATTCGTACGCAATTTAATATAATAATTAATATATTTCACTCAAAAAATAAATTAGTATGCTTTCCCAAATATGGAATATTTCTTATAAACAAATAAATATTATCTTTATAAGAATCATTAAATTAATATTTCATAAATTTAATTTATTATATGAAACTAATTCATATTGTAATAAAACAATATTACTTGTTAATCAATTAACGGGTCTTTAATGTTTGTACTGAATTTAGTTGAATTATATTTGTGTAATAAATATAAATTAAACTATATTTGTTTGCATTTCAAAGAATTTTAGGGCTGATTAGATAAAGTACATTCATTTGATAAGAATATTCCGAACTGTTATGCTATAAATATGGGACTGAAGAATATATCTAAGTTAGTAACTAAAGTTATTTGCAAAATGTTTGTCAAAGTAGCACTGGTATGCATTTTAGCAGCCTGTCCATTTGTTTGTGAAGGGGCCCGGTATGGTTGTTACGCAAACCCCACATCGGCTATACCCGGGTGTAGCTGCACCTCCCAATGGGTAAATATACCTTGAATAAATTAATAGTTATTAGCATTAAAGTAATATACGGCATAGTGTATTTAAATTATTTTAAATTTGGAGGTGGCTACGGACTATGTATACAAAACTGTGGTCACGTGTCAAGGGACTGTAGGTGCAGCTTCGGACTTTAAGGACAATCTACGAAAACTAGATGGATACAAAGTGGACGACTTTATAATCACGGCCTACCCTAACACCCGACTCCCGGAGGAGCCCTTTACAGATAAAACCGAAATCAAACGAATCATTATTCAAAACTCACCCAAACTGGAGGGCTTTGGACCGAAGGGTGGGAAAGGGTTTTTCGCCAATTTAGGAAAATCATTGAAGTCATTGGTGGTGGCAAATAACCCGGCTATTCGCGATGACGAATGGGCTACTATTGCTACGTCGCTGGCAAATGGGGGCACTGCTGATGATGAAGGAGGCACTGGAAAGGCGGCCGGCGATGTTGTACTCAATAACCTGGTCATTCAAAAGCAAACATTGTTTGACGACCTGGATGCGTTCACCGCATTGACCACGCTTGAAATACTTGTATTACGCGGCAATGGATTCACCTCGTTCAAATATGATTTGAGTGCATTCACAAACCTCCAAGTCCTGGACTTATCTGAGACACCGGCGCTGAAAAAGTTTGAATTATCCGCTGCACTTCCCGCCAATTTGAAAACAATATTTCTCAGTGGCGGCAGTATTGAGACAATTACGACGGCTTCCTGGACATTCTTAGTTGTGGCTGATTTTATTGATTTATCAAGTAAGTATTAAACCAACTTTATATAATTTTATATCACTTGTGGACTCAGTAATCAAAAGGTATACTTCAACAGTTGAATTTCAACTCTGTTTTCATAGACAGTATTTATATTTAGTAATTATTTTCAGTAATATTTATTAAAACAGATGTGAAATATTCCTTTCGCTAACTGAGAACAAAAATAATGAATAATTAATTCTTTCCAAATTATATAAGTTGTTACAATTTAATATAACTACAAACTATGTATAAATGAAAATGTTTTAAATTGATTAGAGAATGCGAACCTGGATTGCAACTGCGATAACCTTCCCACTGGTTTTGTGAGCGAGGAAAATGAAAAGAAATTTTTGGGGGCGACCTGTGGTAAACCAGATGCGGCTAAGGCTAAGGCGTTTGGCAGTTTTTGCGTACAGACTGATTATTTCATGTCCATGGCTGCTGATGGCAAACCGCAAATGTCCAGGTTGTATTCATAATTGTTATAGACTTACAGTTTGTTATAGAGAGTCTCTCCGGAGATTTCAATAATTTGTTATTTTGTTTTATTAAAGTTTTTACTAATCAAATTATGTTATGATTATTAGATGTTTATTGTAAGAATAGTTATTAATTTAATAAAATTATTATATGTAGTACAAAGTATGTTTTAAAAAAAATAAATTGCGATTATGATTTAAACGTCATTTTGTAATGCATAAATAAATTTTTATTATATTTTTGCAAATTAAATAATACAAGTATTAACTAGTAATTAATATTTTTTTATAAAACTCAATTAAATATTAAAATAATTTTATACAATTTTTTACAAAGGGGTTCAGTATGGGTATTATGCAATTTGCCCTCATTAAAAATCATAATTGTAAATAAATTACTTTATTTAACCTTTTCTCTTAAAATAATTTCATATGCTTTTGGATTATTACTGTCCACTATATCCGGGTCAGTATCCATACCGGAGTTACGGCCGAGTATTAGGTCGTAGTCTTGAGTCGACTGCAGAAATCTGACCAAAACTAGGAAGAGGTCAGCGATGGCTAACTTCTCGCCCAAACAAACACGTCGTCCCACACCGAACG